AATCCTGTAACAGCTTCACATACATTTATTTGCTCACAATTCTGGAGGCTAGAAACCCAAGATCAAGGTACGGGTGGGTGAGTTTATCCTGAGGCCTGTTTCCTTGACCTGCAGGTCTCTTCACATGGTCTGTTCTCTCTGTGTGCCCCTATTTTTATAAGGACACCAGTCATATTAAATGAAGACCCACCTTAACGACCTCATTTTCACTTAATCACTTTTTTTAAAGGTCTTATCTCCAAACTAGAGGCCCAGTGCACCCTCTCCAATCTGGGATCGCTGGCTCCTAACTGCTCATCTCCCTGCCTGCCTGATTGCCCCTAACCACTCTGCCTGCCTGCCTGATGCCCCTAACTGCACCCCTGCCTTCCTGATCGCCCCTAACTGCCCTCCCCTGCTGGCCTGGTCACCCCTAACTGCCGTACTCTGCCGGCCTGCTCGCCCCTAACTTGGTCCCCTGCCAGCCTGATCATCCCTAACCGCCTCTGCCTCGGCCCCCACCACTGTGGCTTTGTCCGGAAGGATGTCCGGATGGATGTCTGGAAGATGTCTGGTCTAATTAGCATATTACCCTTTTATTAGTATGGATACAGTCAATGTTGTGATGTACGGGGTTTGGACTTCAACATAGGAATTTGATGGGGCACAATCAGGTGACTGGATGGTGTGCCTCATCCAATCAGTTCAAGGCCTTACGGACAAACGCTGAGGTTTCCTGGAGGTGGAGAAATTTGGCCTCAAGATGGTAACACCAACTTCTGCCAGAATGTGCAGCCTATAGATTTTGAACTTGTCAGACCCCACAACCACAGGAGGCAATACCTTAAAATAAATCTCTTAATGGTGTGCATATATACCCCGTTGGTTCTGTTTCTCTGGAGAACCCTAATTGATACTCCACCGTAGGAACTACTGAAATAACTGTTTTTTGATTTGCTGGGCTGCCATAGCAAATGCTGGGCTGGCTGGGAGGTTTTGTTGTTGCAAAAAGGAACCAGCCCCGTTCAGGCCACCTCAGAACTGCGAATCAGCCAAGTGCGGGCTGCAGTACTCACACAGAACTCCAGGTGGCGCCCCTGCACTACTCAAACGAGGCTTCCTTGCTGCAGGCCTCACCTCACAGGCTTTTAAACTCAGATTTCAAGACAACCCAATGACTCAGCAATGCCAAAGGGGAAGCATAACATTTGGACAAAGGATACCGCCTACATGCCCAAAGTTCACAAGCTTGCCGTCACAAAGATCACTTTTTCCATGTGTCCTTTCTTGGAAGTCCTGTCTCTTTGGTAGGCGTTAGCGCGATCTGAGCCAATAGCCACTTGGGCAATCTCATTACCCACCCCCCCCCACCCCCACAGGAATAGGACACCTCGGGGTTAATAGAAAAGGAGGATTGCATTGTGGTTGAAGGTTGACGAGCCAATTTGTCTTGTTTTCTGTCTGCAGCAGAAAAGAGGTCACCGGCTCATTGTTCTAGGTTTTCTTTCTTTTCAAGTCTCCAGGGATGTGAGCCACTATGGCCCAAGGGCACAGCATGCCTGGGTGTTTATGCACACAGGGCATGACTCACCCTGACCCCAGGATGTCAGCTACCCACAGTGCTGGCGGGACAGACTCTGTGCCTGCTCGGCAAACCCCTCCGTTAATCCTGCCGGTGGTCAAGACCCTACCCTGTCATTAGGCCGTGTCCTGGACCACAAGCTCAAAACATTTGGCGGCGTGGGCTTGTTGAAGCCTTGTAATATTTTGTAAGAAAATTCGAGATGCCTTTACTTTTTAAATTTCTACGTTGGCTATGGGAAGCAGAACCAGCTATGTGGAGTGACCCTGGGAAGGTCACCCAGGGGTTCAGAATCAGAATCATGGGCCGAGACCTGCCTTCGGGGGTGCTGACTTTCCTAAATCTCTCCCTCCCCAGCCCACTGCCCCCACCATCACTCATCCTTTCCTGGTACGTAAGGCATTTGTTTGGCTCTTTTTTAAAAGATGCACATTCGCATACGTACACAAATCCACGTCTGTGTTCCTGCAGTTTTAAGCAGTGTGTCACTGATGTTGTGCTCCTGGTCTAACCCAAAAGTAAGTGGAAGCATCACCTATCTTTTACATTAGAACCTGACTTTTTAAAAATATATATTTTTATTGATTTCAGAGAGGAAGGGGGGGGGAGAGGGGGAGAGAGGGAGAGAGAGAAAGAAACATCAATGAGAGAATTATTGATCAGCTACCTCCTGCATGACCCCACTGGGGATCGAGCCCGCAACCCAGGAATGTGCCCTGACCAGGAATTGAACTGTGACCTCCTGGTTTATGGGTCGACGCTCAACCACTGAGCCACACCAGCCAGGCTAGAACCTGACTTTTAAAATATACACACAGTCTTCTTCTTGGAGATACACAATTCGGCATAGTAGATGAGAAGCCCTGAGGAATCCTGTAGAAAACAAACCTCATATTTTTCAAAGTTACTTGAATATACATGACCTTTTCCCAGAGGGGGTCCCCACGGACGTCACTGGAACAATATCCCCGGAATACCATTTGGCAGTGCTGAATAAAATTCTCATCTCTTCGCGGCATAGGGTTGGGTGTGTAGGCAGTAACCCCCGCCTCCTGCTGTGCTGAGCCATTTGGGAGTTTGCAGAGTTAGTGTTAGAGTTCGTTGGGTTTTTGTGGTCTCCAGGGCATTCTAATGGTTGACAAAAGACAAGTCTCCTGGCAGTTTCCCAAGCCTGAGATGGCGGCACAGAGAGTAGAGTAAATAGTACCCTCGCTGCCTCTGGGGGGCCCGTCCCATCCCTCCCAAAGCACACAGGCATCTCTGCCCAGGGCCGCCCTGGGACCTCGCCAACTGTTCCATCTCTGGCATCAGGGGAACCTCCCATTCCCAGTCCCTTGGAGGTGACCTTCAGCCACCTTCAGTCTCTCTTTTTTTTTTTCACCTTCAGTCTCTTGAAAGACAAATTGAAAGGCAACTTGATTACTGGGATATTCTTAAAAACTGCTCAGTTCTTCATCCCTCTCTAAACCAAAGCCATAACCCAGAGGCACTAATTTTATTATGGATAATGAAAAAAATCCTTATCTCTCTCCCAGGAATACTCCCTTCAATCCTTTCATTGGCCTCAAAGAGTGGTCAGCTTTGCACCAGAGCTGAAGTTTCTATACCACCCCTGGTAGTGTTTCAAAATCATAGGAGTTAGGAAGAGGTACATACTTAGTTTGAAGTCTTTTAGGGGCCAATGACCTTGTAGCAATGACCCTATGTGATGGCAATATGTGGTTGAATGTTACTGCGTGTGTTAGATTTAAAACTCTAAAAGTTCCCTGAGTTGTCTCAGAAAAACATATTGACTTATCTATATAGATCAGTGGTTCTCAACCTTCCTAATGCCGCGACCCTTTAATACAGTTCCTCATGTTGTGGTGACCCCCAACCATAAAATTATTTTCGTTGCTACTTCATAACTGTAATTTTGCTACTGTTATGAATCATAATGTAAATATCTGATATGCAGGATGTATTTTCATTGTTACAAATTGAACATAATTAAAGCATAGTGATTAATCACAAAAACAATATGTAATTATATATGTGTTTTCCGATGGTCTTAGGCGACCCCTGTGAAAGGGTCGTTCGACCCCCAAAGGGGTCGCGACCCACAGGTTGATGACCCACAGGTTGGGAACCGCTGATATAGATAAAAGCCTAAGCGACTGGCCGACCGGCTGACTGACCGGTAGCTATGACGTGCACTGACCACCAGGGGGAAGACGCTCCACGTAGGAGCTGCCAAGCTGCAGTGACTTGGCAGCTGTGGTTCTCGGGTGGCACACCTAGAACCAGAGAGGAGGGAGCCCGATTCTGGGGTGCATCACCTGAGAACCACCCTCTTGCAATCGGGAACCCTAGGGGGATGTTGGAGAGCCAGTTTCCACCCGATCCCCACAGGCCAGGCCAAGGGATCCCACCAGTGCACAAATCCATGCACTGGGCCTCTAGTAAGGAATAAAATTGCTGGGCAATGGCAATGGTGCCATGTTGGGTGATTCTCTCTGGCTTCTTTTTTTGTTAATCCTCACCCGAGGACATTTTTCCATTGATTTTTTAGAGAGAGTGGAAAGGAAGGGGAGAGACACACACACAGAGAGAGAGAGAGAAAGAGAGAGAGAGAGAGAGAGAGAGAGAGAGAGAGAGAGAAACATCGATGTGAGAGAGACACATTGACTGGTTGCCCTTTCTCCCCCCACACGCACCTAGACCAGGGCTGGGGATCAAGCCTGCAACCGAGGTACATGCCCTTGACCAGAACTGAACCTGGGACTCTTCAGTCCAAGGGCTGATGCTCTATCTTCTGAACCAAACTGGCTAGGCCTCTCTCTGGCTTCTTCATGGGCTTGGGGACCATCAGTAAGACTTGTTTTCACTTTGTGGCTCTTGTAGAGAGGTCAGGTGGCAACACCTCTGAATTGGTAAGTCTAGCTTTCAGGATCTGTCACACACAACTCATCAGTCAGGTCACCTGACAAACATTGATTGGTTTTCAGCTGGACAGACTCCCAGGTGCAGGGGCACTAAATTCAATGAGATGCCAGCCCTGTCCTAACGGAAGATGCGGCAGAGTCAGGGACATTCATCAAAGGCGTAGGTGCTGCTCTTGAAGAAATGCGCTTGCTCCAGTATTTCTCTAAGTCACGTTAAAAGTCACAACTTTTTTAGCCTGGTGGTTCCGGGTACAGCCTCCAGCATCAGAGGGTCTTGTTGAGAACTCAGTTCTGTGAACCAGCCGTGTGCCCATGAGCAAGTGATGTAACCTCTTCAAGTTCTGGTCTCCACGTCCACAAAATAGAAATAACCACAGCCCCGTCTCTAACTTGTCGTGAGGATTAAATGGGATCCTGCATTCAAAGCGTGTGGTGCACCACCTCACAGATCGTAAGCTCTCAATAAAAAGTAGCATTTGCTATTCATCTTCTTCTTCATCTCTCTACATCTCCAGTCTCCACGTGGAGCCCTTTCCCAATCCAGCACATTCCAGAGAACCAGATCATTCCATTCTCCGCCGGCCTTCAAACATTCGCAGGAATCACAGACGTTGGAAAACTTGGCCAAAAGAGAAAAACGACAAAAGGAGTGATACAAGGAGGAGCTTGACATCTACCTGAAATTCCTCTCAAAGGCCAGTGGGAGCGTGCCACTCCTCTAGCCCATGGTGTGCACCCACACGGCCTTGTGTTACTGTTATCTGCTCTCCCCGGGTCACATGCTTCAAGTATTGCAAATCCCTGAGCTTCCCTGGGAAGCTGTGGAGTCCCCACGTCATGGATCTCCCAGGACCTTGCACAGACATTCGTGGGCTCGTCTGCCAGCCATGAAGCTCCAGGGCAGGTTCACCCGCGATTGCCAAGGATGCAGCACATGGGCTTTGCTTTCGTTGGCCCTTGCCTGGTGCTCTTCCCACAGCAAGACAGCGAAGGGTGTTTTCTTCTGGCTGCTCTTCCTTAGCAGAGAAAACACTGCACCTCCCTCCTTGAGGGTGTGGTGCCTTAGAATCTCCTGGAGAATCACAGGGGCAGCCACCTGGGGACAGACCTCCTGCCAAGACTCCCAGGCTCGTTGCTCGCCATCCTGACTCACCCTCCTAACACCAGGGCAGCTCGGTCAGTCTATGAGAACGTGGTACTTGTACAGAAGAAATCCTAGTTGTTTCTAACCATGTTTTACACTCAGACGCCCTTAACGAGAGAGAAAAAGGTCTGAAAATGAAATCAAGACAATAGGATGTTTTCAAGAGGGTGAAGGATACAGGTCAAAGAATCACGACTAATTGATGATGAAGATTTTTAAAAAGAGACCTCCCTAATAGTTCATCATTGGTCAAGTTTTTGCTGTGTTCTAGGCCCTATCCTAAGTGCCTATGTAGATTTTCTCATCAAATCCTCTCAAAAACTTTTTAAGAGGGTGCAATTATTATCCCCAACGAAAACCGAGAAAACACAGAAGCTCGGTGGGGTTAAGCAACATGGGAAACTTTGGGCTCCTCTTCATTCCTTTAAAATCTGTATCTGGGTAAAGTCACGTTTTAAAAACCCTGAAGAGGAAAAAAGAAAACATAATTTCAACATGTCCTAGATTGCATTTATAATAGAAGGGTGTCCGGGCCTGGCTGGATGAGTGGGATCTCAATGCCTTCAGGTGTTGGCTGGATGAGCCTTCTTCTTTCGCAACCAACTGTTCCTGAAGCCTGGGCTGACGTCGTCAACCAACTCTGAAAGCAAATATGTGGTCTGAGTGGTTTCACCCTGGGTCCTGGTCTCACCTCTCAGGCTGGGACCTTCTCTGCTGGAACGGAGGAGGGACAGGAGGTCTAAACAGAAGCAGAATAGAAAAGCTCAAAGCTGCAGAGGACCATCATGAACTGTATGAGCGCCGCACCACTGTACTGTACCCCCAACACTCATACAAAATAATCTTGAGTGTCAACTGTATTTAAAATAAAATTTTTTTGATGAAGAATTATGCTGATTTTAAGAAAAAGAAAAGCTCATCACCTTCGATTCCTCCTCAGTTGACTTAGGCCACCCTCATGGTGTGGCCTTGCTTTCTGATTCGAGGTATAGACACAGTTACCTCCTGGCAGTCAAGACCCTCAGAGTCCTGCTGATTCCACAAAAACAGAGTCAGCTCATCATGTTACGTTCACATACGCCCCCCACTCATGCCAAGCCCTCTCCACTCATGTTCATTTGCTGCCCACCGCTTGCTAGGTTCAGAGTTAAGTCTCCTTGCGTGTATTATTGCACGGGAAACTCAGTTGATGATGGAAGACAAGCAAGAGTCCCAGGAAGGCATCTGCCTTCTCTCAGAAAACAGAAATGCACTGTTGAAAGAGACTCTGCAGTTAACAAACTTGGTCATTAAAAACATTTACAAATGCAGCATTTAAACTCACAGGCCTGGGCGGGCCACCCATGGGGAGGGTAACACGGAGAAGTTACTCAACAGCCCTAACCTTCACCTCCCTGGGTTGTAGAGAAGAATTAATGTACATGGTGCAGGTTTGATGAAGGGAATATTTCACTTTCATGATTGCAATTATTAATTATAGTCATGAAATATCATGAAATATCCTTGATGCCAGGCGTACTCATAGCTCTCTCCTTGTTGACGGTCTCACTTTGTGTGTTTTTAATTTATATATTTTTTTATTTTTTATTTTTATTTATTTATTTTTTAAATATATTTTATTGATTTTTTACAGAGAGGAAGGGAGAGAGAGATAGAGAGTTAGAAACATTGATGAGAGAGAAACATCGACCAGCTGCCTCCTGCACATCTCCTACTGGGGATGTGCCCGCAACCCAGGTACATGCCCTTGACCGGAATCGAACCTGGGACCTTTCAGTCCGCAGGCCGACGCTCTATCCACTGAGCCAAACCGGTTTCGGCTATATATTTTTTTAATTCAAAATTTTTTCAGTTACAGTTGGCATTCAATATTACATTAGTTTCTGGTGTATAGCATCATGGTTAGACATTTATATAACTCATGAAGCGACCCACCTGAGAAGTCTAGGGCCCACCTGGCACCACACGTAGTTATTACAGTGTTATTGACTATATTCCCCATGCTGTACTCACATCCCCATGACTATTTTGTAACTGCCAATTTATACTTCTTAATCCCTACAGAAAGAGTTTTTGTAGATACCCAATAACTATTTGTTGAAATGGATGGATGGATGGATGATTCTAAAGCCTCGTTGTGTGTGTTTTCATACTATTCTGGAAAAGTGACGCTTTCGATCTATTAGGTGGTGGATGGAGCAGTGAGGCCATGAGCTTCTCAACACAGGGACTTCTAATAGGGTTGATTGACTGTCCACCTGCTGAGAGAAGTGTTTCTTCCCTTGCAGTGTTAAATATTAAAACAACCAGAACTCAGGGAGTATCTGTCATAGAGGCAGGTAAAGCCAGAAATAGGAAGATGTCATTTCTGAATGGAACAGACTAGAACTAATGCAGGTGAAGGAGTCTGAGAAGCAGCCCTTAGCCTAGATAAGAAGGCCACCGTCTTTACGGAGAAGGGATTTTACCTTCCTCCAGGGTCCAACCTATGAATTCCCTATCTTGCACCTCGGCCCACACTAGCCCTGCTTCTCCTTTTGTATTTCCCGGCTTCATTAATATTCTCATCCTATACCACTCACCCATGCATACCCTTCCAGCTTCCATATCTGTCCCCCTGTCTCACTCCTGCCACCCTGAACCACATGCGACATCTCTCCTCTTTCTCACTCTCTCAAACATTCTTCTCGCCTGGCCTTAGCTAATTACTGGAGTTCCCTAAACACATGCTGGTCTTTCTTTTTTTTAAATCTTCACCTGAGGTTATGTTTTTATTGATTTTTAGAGAGACACACAGAGAAACATTGATCATTTGCCTCCCATACGCACTCCAACCAGGGATCGAACCCAAAACCTTTTGGTGTACAGGACAATGCTTAACCAATTAAGCCGCCTGGCCAGGGCGACACATCTTGGTCTTTCTAACCATTCCTTTGCACGTCCTCTTCCCTCCACTCATCTTACAAGACTCAGTTCAAACATCTCCACGTTCAGAGAAACAATGAAGACTCCCCTGATCTCAAGCAGAATTCACAGTTCCCGCCTGCGTTTCTCTCATACACCCTCTCACAGGACATTTTAACTATTTGTTTACATGCCTGTCTTCCTAGCTACATTGAGTGTTTCTTGAGGGGAGGGCTCTTGTTTTGTTTATGTTAATATTCTCCTGAACCTAGTCATAATATACCTAGTACTCGATAAATATTCATTAAGTGATATGGACCAAGATAAGAAATTAAAAACCCATTCTTGACTCACGCCTCCTACCACTGCTGGAGATGGGCCACTGTCTTCCTTCCTGCATAGATAACATCGCATCTGGCTGTTTCCGAAACCATTATCCCCATCCCGCCCGTACATCTTGGCCGTCAAATTAAAAGGACTGTCATTGCAATGACTCGGTCCACCCACTGCTGTATATTTAATGTTCAGGGTGTTGTGATTCCATAGCCTCGTAGAAGTGAGTTAGGATCTTCAGCGAAAGGAACTTGAGTGCGGGAGCCATTAGCACAGGGTCGTAGATGAGCGTGGCAACCTGCATAATAACTGGGGTGGGATGCTTCAACACGATCACAGCCCAGAACCCCGTGGGAATGACGGCCTTTCTCCTTCCTTAGGTGATGAAGGTTAGGACATTCCCTCCCACACATGCCTGGAGACCAGGATGCTGAAGGCATCATATCTCCCTGGGTCTCCCTCCGGAGCAGGAGCCGGGGAACCCCCCACTTCTACGTGTCTGGCAGTCTGTCCTCCTCCTCTGGTCCCCTGTACTGTGTCGGTCTGCTCAGGCTCCTACAGAGCCACCCTACACCAAGACCCCACTGTGTGAGTCTTGGACCAGGTTAGACACCGGGACTGCACCGTCCTAGGGCTTTAGGGCCACCCGGATGTGACATGCAGACGATTTGGCAAGGGGTAGGTTTGGCCTCTAGCCTGCTCTCCTGTTACAGTGGCCGCTCCTGGCCTAAGCAGTGGACTAAGGAAGCGTGAGGTGAAGGAGAAGGAAATACCGTCCTTGCTGGGTCCAGAAATGCCCGGATGCAGGTGATGTGCCATAGACCTCCCTGTTCTGCAAAACGCATAAAGGGCTTTATCTTCTGAGACCTCACACAGCAGACCCTGGAAGCCCCAGGGCCCGTTCTTCCGTTGTGATTCCTACGGAGAAAGCACTATCCAGGGCAGGAGTGAGTGCGGTAGGAACGGAGAAACAGAAATCCAGGTGCAACCAACGTCTCCAAGAGTCTATTCCGGAAAAGGAGGGAAAAAGAAGCTCTTAGGCCAGTGATGGCGAACCTTTTGAGCTCGGCGTGTCAGCATTTTGAAAAACCCTAACTTAACTCTGGTGCTGTGTCACATATAGAATTTTTTGATATTTGCAACCATAGTAAAACAAAGATTTATATTTTTGATATTTATTTTATATATTTAAATGCCATTTAACAAAGAAAAATCAACCAAAAAAATGAGTTCGCGTGTCACCTCTGACACACGCGTATCATAGGTTCGCCATCACTGTCTTAGGCACACAATTATGTCTTCTGATGCAATTGCTTCTTGAGTGTTGAAAACTCACATTTAGTCTCTGGACATGAATTACTTTCATGCTGAAAGGGGCAGAGGGTAGGGTATCCATCCTCAATTTCCCCCTCTCCACCTCTCAGCACACTTCTAGCTGGGCCTCTAATCTTTTTTTTTATTTTTTAAAAATATATTTTTATTGATTTTAGAGGGGAAGGGAGAGGGAGAGAGAGATAGAAACATCAATGATGGGAGAGAATCATTGATCAGCTGTCTCCTGCACGCCCTTTACTGGGGATCGAGCCTGCAACCCAGGTACATGCCCTTAACTGGAATTGAACCCTGGACCTTTCCATTGGATGCTCTATCCACTGAGCCAAACCAGCTATGGCCTATTTAGGTGTTTTTTAAGTGCTTTATCGCACTGACCTTGAATAGAGTATTGGGTAGAAGTGGTAATTGTAAGGAGACTTGTCTCCTTCCTGATCTGGGGGGGGAGGGACTTTCATTCACCATTAAATAGGATCTTCCTGTAAGTTCTTTATAGGTAACCTGCCTCAGATTAGTTTCTCCTGTTTCCCAGTTTGTAAGGGGTTCTCATGAAGTAGGCATTGAATTTTACCAAATGTTCATGCTGAGCCAGTTCAGAGGACCATATGTTTTTACTCTTTATTCTGTTACCACGGTGAATTCTGCGCTGCGATGACCAAATGTTACCACAGATCCGCAGCCCTGGATGCAAATGCACAAGACGTGTTATTCTTCTGCATCACTGGCCTGGGTCTGCTAATATGTTCTTTAAACTTTTTACATCTGTTTGCAAGCGAGACGGGCCTATAATTTTCCTCTCTTGTGATGTCTTAATCAAGTTTTAGTTTCGTGGTTTCATAAAATGAAAGCTGATGAATCATCTCAGCCTTTTTTTTTTTTTTAGATCTGAAAGTGTTTCCTCTTATATTTTTCAGGAAGCGGTTGCATAGAATTGGTTTTCATTCTTCTTTAGACATTTGGTGCTCATCGCCAGCAAAATCATCTAGAATCAAGGATTTCCCTCTATAGAGTTTTAAAAGTACAAGTTAAATTTCCTTAATAGTCACAGGGCTATTCAAATGATCTATTTTAGATTTTGTGGTAGCTTGAGCCTCTTGAGGAACTGGTCCATTTCTCGTAAGTTGTCCAGTTTATGCGTGTAAAGTTGTTTGTGATATTCTCTTATCCTTTTGTTGTCTGCCGTCTGCAGTGATACCTGGCTTAATTTCTGGTATAGCTAATTGGTGGTTTAAATTTAAATCACTCTTTTTTTCCCTCTGTCAGTCTTGATAGAGATTTGTCCATTTTCTCAATCTTTCCAAAGAACCCGGTTTTGTGTA